TGGTTACAAACCCTTTTTGCTTGAGATCTTCCTGAGTTACGAACCTTTAAAGTTTAAGTATCGCCGGCGCGTTATCTAAGGTATGCGCGCGCGCGCGCACGCACGCACGCACGCACATACACACGCACACACACAAACGCGCGCGCACAAGACTCACTTTGATCAAGCGTCTCGAAGAGGTGGATATCCGACCGTGCCACCTCCACACAGTATACCTTAGATAATGCATTTTCGTGTAATTTTTACCTCACGCCATAGACCTTTGTAAATTTTGTAAAAAATTTTTAGATTTGACGGATATCCATTTATGTCCGTATAACTCCGTAAAGTATCAGTCATATTGAAAATTTAATTATAGATTTCGAAAGTAGAGATTTCAACCTTTAAAATCCTTTTTTAATTTTTTGTCTGCGATGATTTTTCATTGAATTATGGTGTTCTGAATATCGCTCAATTTTTAGCGTGTTTGAAAGTGTTCCCTAGATTTTGTTGAGTAGTGTAGATACTGATGCGTCAGGATGTGGAATAGGGGCAGTCTTGTCGCAACATCAAAACGGAGGAGAGAAGGTGATTTCTTACTATAGTCGCGTCCTAAAACAGAAAGGAATTATTGTGTGACGCGGCGAGAACTTTTGGCCATTGTTGAAGCGATTAAATCATTTTACCATTATTTGTATGGTAGGGAGTTTGTGGTGCGGACGGACCATGCGTCGCTGAAATGGCTGATGTCCTTCAAAGATTTGGAAGGCCAGTTAGCACGTTGGTCGGAAAGACTTCAACAATACGACTTTCAGGTCATTTATCGGAATGGAATTCTTCACGGGAATGCAGATGCTTTATCCAGACGACCCTGTGTGGGTACTGAATGTCAGTATTGCGCAAGGACTGAGATCAAAGAGGCTGTAAAATTAGAAAATTCTGTTGCTCGGATTGTTCTTGGCTGAGGACAATGGTGAAACCTGGCGACAGGAACAGTTAGAGGATCCTAGTATTGCAATTATTCTCCAAGGAAAGGAGACTGGGATCCGTCCTTCTTGGCAGGAGATTGCATCCAGAGATGCTTCTGCTAAGATTTACTGGTCCTATTGGGATTCTTTAGAGCTTAGGAATGGTGTACTTTACAAAAGGTGGGAGGCACCAAATCTGAGAGATTCCATTGCTCAATTAGTTGTTCCTAAGGGACGGATTCAACAGATTTTGGAACAGGCACATGATTCTCCGTCAGGAGGACATTTTGGGATCAGTAAAACCTTAGAAAAAATTCGAAAAAGGTTCTATTGGGCGTCCTGTAAACAAGACGTTGAAAGTTGGTGTTAGTCTTGTAATATTTGCGTCGCAAGGAGTGGTCCGACGGGAAAAGGAAAATCTCCGTTTCAAATTTATAACGTTGGAACTCCGTTTGAGAGAGTTCAAATGGACGTGCTTGGTCCGCTTCCGACAACTCTTACAGGAAATAAGTATTTATTGGTCGTAGTTGACTGTTTCACAAAATGGGTAGAAGCTTTTCCTTTGAAAAATATTCGAGCAAAAACTATTGCAGAAACCTTTTTAAATCAAGTTATTTCAAGGCATGGCGTTCCTTTAGAAGTTCATACAGACCAGGGAAGAAATTTTGAGTCCAAGATTTTTTCAGGAATTATCGTGACTGCTTGGAATCAAAAAGACGAGAACGACTGCTCTACATCCCCAGTCGGATGGTCAAGTGGAATATCAACATCAAACAATTCTAAACTATTTAGCCAAATTTGTGACTAAGAATCAAAGGGATTGGGATCGTTGGATTCCAATGTATTTATTAGCGTATAGATCTTCAAAACGTGAAACTACCGGCGTAACACCGGCAGAATTGTATTTCGCTCAGGATCTTAGACTTCCTATAGATTTGCTTCGAGGAAATCCTCCTGTACCGAAAGAACAGTCAATGGATAGCTATTTAGGCAAGATTAAAAGGAAATTAGAGGGAATTCATGATCAGGTTAGGAATCGTGTTGATAAAATCTTCTCCCACCAAAACCTGGTATGATCAGAAAACCAGGCGAATTCATTTTGAGATAGAGCAAAAGGTTTGGTTATACAATCCTCGAAGAGTTAAAGGTAAAGCTCCAAAATTGCAAAGCAGCTGGGAAGGACCATACTATGTTGTAAAGAAACTCAGTGATGTCGTGTATTGTATTCGCAAGTCAAATAAGTGTAAAAATAAAATTGTACATACGGATAGGTTAGCACCTTATTGTGATAGACAAGAAGAAAGGGAGTAAATAAAAAAATAATAGATGAATGATCATTCAGAGCCTAGTATTAAGGGTCCAGTCTCGTTTGTTGGGTCGAAAAAATCGAAATTTTTTTGCGGATTTCGATAGCTGTCTAGAACGTTGTGCTAAAAGGGCAAATCGATATTCGTTACGATTCAAAAGTTATGAGTCATTGAGTCGACCCGTGCGGAGGCACGCATCGAGCGTCTCCCACGGGTACGAAAGGCAGAAGCGGCTGGAAGTTTGGAAGACTACAATCACCCCGCTCCTCTCGACCATCATGTGCAGGAATTGATCAGACCAATCTACGAAGACCTATCATCCAATGATTTGTTGGACCGTTGTCTTGAAAGATATACGCAAAACAACAATGAATGCTTCAACAAAACAATATGGCAGTTCGCTCCGAAACACACGTTTTGCGCTTCAAATATTATTACCATATCCGCATATCTGGCAACATATATTTTCAATAAAGGCTTTCATCCTATTTTGAAAATTATGACGATTATGGGCATCGTCATCGGTCCACATGCACACGAATATGCCAACCATCGTAACGAGGAACGTTTGAAAGACGCAGAGCGGCGAACGGCATTTGCTTCAATGGAGGAAAGAACGCTACGAAAAAACGAAAAACTCCATGAACAACTAAATTTTGAAGAAGCCGAAGGACTG